TATATAAATCAATCTGCCCGTTATCTTTGTGCATGAATGAGATGGGGGTCGCATGTGGACTGATACAGTAATATATTGTCTGTCTTAATACAATTCATTTCTGGTTTTATTAATTGGTTTTAAATTCAATGAGCTAATTATCTTTTTCTTCTGAGAAGGATCAGAAAATCCTCGTCTTTTTTTTTTTTTTTCCAAACCAAATATTTTCTGTTCCTTCTGTGAGTAATTTTTCTGTTTCTAATGTATTGTAGGCACCTCGATGGGTGGGACAGCTGGCCTAGGGTTTTAAAGCTTTTCCATGTCCAAGGTAAGGATCGAACCCTCGACACTTGGTTAAGGGAAGATGAGCCCCCACCGCTCAACCACACCCCCCGGGTTCTGTATATGTGATTTTATTCATTCTAGTTAAGTAAAACCCAGTAATTACTGATTAAGATATCTGATTTTATTTTATACAAATTAGTGATCATCTGGCCCCGTGTTTAAGAAAAATGTGTCTGGTTTTAACAAAAGGCGGGTTTCAAAGTACATTGTTTTTCCTATTACACTGGGTACATGGTCTTCTTATTATATATGTATGAGAAATTAATGCACAGGATTTGGTCAGAATGAATGTATTAAAAATACTAGATCCTAAACTTGTTTTCTATGAATTATACACACCCAAAAAAATATTTTGTTTTTATTATTTGAACCTTGCTCTTACTAATGCTTCACCTTTTTTGATTTGCCAAGATGATCAGCAGCGCTAAGACTCATTAATTAGTTAATTATTGAGGAAATTACTCTGATATGCTTTTATTTAATTAATTTAGCCTTATATTTATATTAGATTATGTATATATGGAGTTAAAGTTAATTGAACAAATGGTTACGTTAACGTTAACGCCACCTCCAAGAACCATGTTTTATTATGTGATGAATTCACATGATACAACATAGATTTTGGAGAGTGGACCCCAAGTTTGTTTCCTGGTCAAGCGAGCGCATAATTTCGTCGTTGTATAAAAATGGAAAAGAATTTATATCAAGGATAAAAATAATTAGACAGCTTAAGTTATATCCTCCATCATTGAAAAAAATTTTAAAAAACAGAAATAAAGAGAGAAAATATGAGTTTAATTAAACTGTACGTGGGCCTTTAGTCACATTTTGCTGACCACTATAAGAAAACGGTTCAACCTTACATCGATATAAGCATCTTTGATTTTACGTTTATATCAAGGTAAGCGAAAAAACATGTGAAAAGAAACGTTAAGAAAGAGGCAAACATACATTTGATAGGTAAAGGGGAAAAGTGTTATAAGTTTGTTTCCAAGCAAAAGGTCCTTCAAGTATGCAAAATTTTTAATTATAATATCCTCTTGTTCTAAATATAAGATCTACTTTATAATACAAATTATATCAAATCTTATATTTAGAATCAGAAATTATACTACAAACTAATTTTATATTTAGAACTGAGGATAGTATAAAGCTAATGGTATTATTGTATGAAAGCTCTTGTATAAGTAAAAAATCGTGAGTTTGATCTCATTAGTAACTTTCTGCTATTAGCAGTATCTACAATTTAATATATGTATGTGTATGTATATATAAAATTTGTGCAGCAAATTCTATCAAAATAACTGTATAAAATTAAAATATTGGCCCCAAAGTACTTATTTCTTTTTGAATTCGTCAAGATGAGCAGCACTAAAACTCATAAATTATCAAGGAAATGACTAGATACTTCTATTTAATTTAGGTTTAGACTAGCAGATATGATAAATTTAGCATTAATTGAACAATTGTTTGCATAATATATACCACCCAAAATGCACAACTAAAGCAGCGAAACACATAAATAACAATATATATTTCAAATAGGGTTTTTTAGGTGACTATCACCATTTCAAACACACAAACTACTACATACGAACTGAGATGTAGATATGACAAACTCAATTATTTTTATATATTTTGGTATCTTTTATATGAGTTTTGTCAGCTTAATTGGTCCCTTTTTGCCTTAATTGATTTATTTTGTTTTATTTTGAATTATTATTTTATAGGGGCAAAATTGTTATGTTTTGATTTAATTGTGACTAATTGATTTTTGAGGACAATTAATGCTACCTTATCTTTGAATTTTTGCTTGCAGGTTTTTGGAAGATTTTGAAAATAAAAAAAAAAGAGAGAAAAGAAAAAAATAAATTAAAAAAAAAAGAAAAGAAAATAAAATAATAAAAGGGGGGAGCAAAACGCTGCGTTTTGCTCCACCCCTAATATCTAATATTACATTCACCATAGGAGGACCCGGAGAGGAGAACACGAGGAGAGCTGAGCTAAGCGGCGCTGAAAACAGAGACAAAAACAGGGGAGCAGAAGGGCGAACCAGGCGGCGAGACCGTTGACCGCAATCTCTCCATTCATCTTCTCTACGTCTTCTCACTGGTGGCAGAGAGAAGACGGCGAGAGTGACAGAGCCAGAGGAGACGCACGCACGAACCAGCGAACAGGGGACCGGAGCTGATACGCCGAAGAAGAAACGCGAGGTGGCTGGAGGGCAGAGCGAAGACGAAGGACAATCCGGAGAGCAAGCTGGGCGCGGCTGGAGAAAGGACCAGAGAACGAACACGACGGCGCCTGCGTTCTTCCATGGCAAACCGTAGCAAAATTCTGAATATGACAATTTTTATGGCAAACCGAGGCTAGACTCTATAATTCTCTAATTCAACAATAATGGCAGGAGCTTGGATCATTAAAGGGGAGTTTTAGTTGCTTTAATTTCCTACTCAATAATTGTTTAACAATTCCTAGGTCTTAGGATAGTTTTTCTAATTATTGAGATAATTGTATTGCTTAATCTGATTATATTTGGGGATTATTGTGACTGGATTATTGTTTAGCATTTGACATTGGGCTGTTTATAGCTTTGATTTCAATTATGATGTTGTGGTTATGACATTTGTATTGATTTTGGAGTTAATATATTGTGATTTTCTAAGGTGGCTTAGAATCTTGGATCATATTGTCTTTTGCTAGCTTTAAGTCTATTGTTGTGAATTTAAGAATTTAATTGAGCATTGGTTTTTAGTATCCTTAATTTCATTTTACTATTCTGGTTGCAGTTAGTAATTTGAATTTTAGGAAAATATTTTGTGGCAACTCGAGGTGGCTCGGTTGTTGGATTAAAAGCTTAATTATAATTCTTAATTCATTGTTTTTAACTCCCATATCTTTTAGAGTGATGATTGCCTACATTGTTGAATTAGAGGATTGATTATCATCAGTGTTATTTGTGTGTCTCATTTTCATTTCTTTCATCTTCAGTGATTTCAATCATCTTTTATATAAAAGAAAATAACAAAAAAAAAAAGTATTTTAATTTCAATTTAATTCAAGGCATTTAGTTAGCAATTTTTCAAACTCAAATTAAAAATCATTTTTATAGTTTAGGTTACTTGCATTTATTTACTAGGGTTTAATTTCGTTTTCGGCTCCTCAAAGTGAAACGACCCGAGTTGTGCACTATACTGCATTAATTCGGTTAATTTTTGGAGTAACCCCAAAGCGACAATTAAGGGCAGTTCAACTTCAAGATAACATTTAGTAACAAACCCAGAAACTGAGAACTATTTATAACTTGTCAGCGCTCTGCCTTGAAGTTCATCGATCTCTTGTACAGCACTACGTATTTTGAACTTCAAGATTATTGAGAGATTTGGAGAAGCACTTTTAATAGCCATAAGCCTTTGTTCATCGATAATTGCTTCGCTGCATATTATAGTAATCCTCTCCAACTTCCTGCCTTCTGCTATGATGAACCTTAAGAATGCAAATTCTTCATTTTTGCCTTTGAATCCTCTCAAATATACAAACTTCAGCTGGTTTTGGACACAGTCACAAGCATTTTCGAAATTCCAGTAACTAGATCCGTCCATAAAATTATCACTAGGAATAACCTGTAGAACAGAAAAGAGTTATATAATAAGCGCACTCTCTGATCAGAATCATAATACAGTAATCTGGACAGTCTATAAAATTTATAAAAAGTTGCAGTACTATTTATATGTCATAAATAGCATCGGTCAGACTCATTATAAATTATGAGTCTACAGTCGATTCATACATTTGACTTTAATCTAGGCCTGTCTAAAAGTAGTAAATGGTTACACAGAAAATATCTCTTCCCCTCCCCCGCAAGACATTCCTTCCACATAAGTTGTCTTTTTAGAATCATACTCGTATGCCAATGATTCTAACATCAGTCGTTGGATTATTAAGACTTGCACAATGCCAAAAGCTATAACATTATTTTTTACTTAACCACATAGACCCAAACATTATGTTTCTAATTTCACTCTAATCTCTTGCTTAACCTTGTAAAGACAAGATGTTACGTTGGCTATAATATAACCCACCAATTAGAGTGGATTATATATAATATATTAAAGTTTGCTTTTAAATGAATATGCAATGTTATAAGGCACAATGGACAGCAAGATAGGGTTAAGTAGAAACCTCGAGGCACCCTCTTTCATGAGTTTATAGTTAAAATGAACAAATTGAACGTAATAGAATCGAGAGGAAACTTGATATCATCACATACCGGTAAAGTCATTTCAAGAGTTTCCAGACAAGTGCATGATCTCAAGAAAGCTGTAAATAAAATGCACTGTACTGCATCATTCAGGTCCATATCAATTGAAAGTTTGGACAAAGTCAGCAAAATATTGCTCCCGGAATCCTACAAAGTGAAGAAAATGAAGACTTGGTTAATTAATTAGCACCGACCATAATATATGCAAAACAGAGAGACGTCACAGAACTGCTATTTAGCTTACCCAATAATAACGGAAGTTGAAAAGAAGACTGAAAGCCTTGAGGACGGTTCTCTCTTGATCTAAAGCAAGTACCGATCCCAATGTTGAGTGGTTGTAACAATGGATAACCCTAAGGCTTGGGGTATAAAGTTTCATACTTTCCGGAGAAGTGATAGTATCAAGGAGAAAAACTTAAAGCCTCTCAGCAAAAACAAGTATTTTTTCAAGGACCAAAGCAATCAGTTGCAAAACCTTCAGATTGGTATTTTGAATTTCAAAGTTGCTAAACCCAGAACACTCAAAGAGACATATATTCTCCAATCCTTTACAGTTCTTCAAAATTCCATCGAGGGTTTCATCATCGATGTCCACATTCTTCAGAATCAAGGTTTTCATCACATTCTCGCATCCCTCAAACGGTTTTGAAGTACGCAGATCGTAGTGAATGAGCTGAAGTGAACAGAATCCCGAGAAAATCCCCGTTGGAAAATTAGGTTTTGAAAATCTCTCAGAAGGTGGTAAATGTCGAAGACAGTTTTGGTTTGTTCCTATGTTATAAAGCTCACACTCTATGCTTACATTTTGCACATTCTTTGGCCTTATAAATCCAAGCCAGGTGACGACGTGCTCATGGAGGATACTATATGGAAAATGGATGAACCGACAACTTTGCAAGTCACCAGAGTGAAAAAACAAAAAGGAAGCAATCGTTAGACCATGGAGATCCATGCGACGATTCAAGAGTTTACCAAGTTCTGAATAGGGACGAAGTGCTTCGTAAGGGTCTTCTCTTTGAGCTAAGGGCATAATCATGCGTCTCGCTTCAAACTCAAGATGGGTATTGATGGATCGCCACAATCCCCTCCATCTCTTTGAAAGAACATTCGTCCTTGCAATTTCGTCGATTGGAAGAAGAGAAAGGATGAGGCACAAGATTTCATCTGGGAGTTGGCTTATGAAATCAATCTGCCTGGCCTTGGTTCTTGATCTGGTCATAATCATTTTGGTGGAGTGGTGAGAAGAGAGTCTAGAAATTCTGGGTTGAAGTGAAAGCCCAGAAGAGAGAGCTTTGAGAATGGGAGAGTGTGAGACGAAGAAGAAAGGAGAAGTTGACTTTATAAAGCAATTAACTTGTCCATTATCTTTCTGTTCATGAATGAATTGAGGGTTGCATCTAGACAGCTGCAAATTGTCTGTGGTCATACCATTAATTATATTTTCTGGTTTTGGTAATTGGTTTAAAATTTGAGTTAAATGTTTGCTTTTAAGAGTGATCAGATTTTTTTATTCAAAAAAATATATTTTTCTGTTACTTGTACGAGTGAATTTTTTTTCTGTTTGCAAAGTTCATTAAAAAAAAATAATAATAAACACTTCCCTGCAATTTTTGATGTATATCATTGTATCTTTTCTGAAGTGAGTGCACATTCATTCTAATTAATTTAAAATCAGGAATTATTAATTAAGACTATCTAATTCTCTTTTATATAGATTAATATAGTAGATATTCATCATCTGACATTGTATTTTTTTTTTAAAATACCATGGCCGGTTCTGGTTCAGAAAAAGTTTTCAATATACATGCAACTCTTTTGGGTACACAATGTATACATGGTTTTCTTCATTTTCTTGAGGATATACTTGCATTAATGTACCAGATTCTGAGTAATTATATTAAAAATATTTGGTTCAAAGTATTTAACTATTTGTTTCTTTTTAGCTTTTTTTCCCTGAACCCTCCTTTTTTCTTTTCTGGTTTGCCAAGATGAGCAGGCAGCAGCTGTAAATTCATAAATAAATTGTGAAATGCGCACGATTCCGGCATATATCCAAAAGGAAAAAATTCTATTAAATAAAAAATAATTTTGCCTAAAGTTCCATTCCCCGTTATTTATTTATTTTTTAAAATAGCTTAATATGGTCTAATTTTATTGATTTATTGATCATCATGGGGGAAAAAAAAGAAAGGCGTGTTTCGTTTTGCGTTTGTTTCAATACAAATGGGAAAAAAAATTATGAACAGTAACAATAACACAAACCATTCGTTTAAAGTGACTGGTGAAATAATCATGTTAGAAGTTTGTAATTTCTGTTCTACTACGACATTTTGTGTTTTGAAGCTAAGATACTATTAACGGCAAAAGATATTATTGGATCAGTAAAGTGGATATTCATATCCACTATCTAGGATATAATCCTGTGCTTTCTTAATATATACTATGTAATGATTTTGGCCAAAATCGGTCTTCAGCATATACACGTGTTTTTTTTTTAACACAACGTACTTAGTTTCTGTCTATGCGTGTGTATGTATGCAAAATTTTGCGGGATTATATATATAAATATATATATATATATATATATTACTTGCATTGACGCCAGATCGATTCTGAGTTATTATATTAAAAATATCTTACTATTTTTTCCTTTTCTAGTTTGCCAACATGTCTTTGTATTTTAGGCGGACGAGTTAACGGATATATGTAAAGAGGAAACATTTCTAGAAGGAAGTCTCTTGATATATTCTTATTTGTCTAACCTCTTTTGCACAAGGTTTTGATATGGCAGAATGAATAATTACAGTAATAAACTCAGAAATTAATTATGAGAAAATAACTATCTGCTTTTATTTCAGATTTAGATTAGATAATAAGATGAAGTAAACATTAACTGAAAAATTTTGCATAACGCAGTAGTAATAAAATTCACATGCTATTAGCATCTCAAACACAAACAAATTAATTAACCAGCACTTGTCACAAACCCGGAAAATCATTATTCAAAGTCATTGTACCAAGTACTTATATGAGTTTCTACACATTATGACACCAGTCGACACATATGGCTGGAAGCTCTTGATGAGAACATATACTGACTTGTTGAGAATTACTTGTATTTTATGATCTCCCTGCGTTGAAGCTCAGTGGTCTCATCTAGATCTCTATGTATTTTGAACTCCAAGATGACGGCAACATTAGGGGAAGCCTTTTTCAGAGCCATGAGCTTCTTTGCATTGATCTTTTGCCTACATATAACAGTAACTCTCTCCAACTTCCGACCTTTTGTTATGATAAGTTTCAAAAATTCATACTCTTGGGTATTCCCTCTGAATCCCCTCAAGTAGACAAACTTCAACTGGTTTTTGATAGGATCACAAGCACGTTGACGTTCCCAGTAACTATATCTATCAATCATATTTCCATCGGGAACGGCCTGTAAATTGCAGAAACAAGTTATAAAGTAACATATTTGCTGAACAGATTTTTCATTTTTGTTCATTGATGTACAGATACAAACCAATATAATAATGCACACTCTGATCATAAGCATGTATAACACAATCATGAAGAAAGAAAAATATATCCACATCTATATACACTTCGTAAGAGTTTACAGTCCTATTTACAAGTTATAAGCAATATCCCTTATGATTTTAGACTCTGTAAAGTATGAGCTCACAGTCTACTTAACATAAAAAAGAATTTTGAAACGGGACAACAATTATTACATCAAAAATTTGCTAATAAGGTGTAAGTCAGTGCATATATATATACTACCTAATCACAAACTCTAAATATATGTTTCATTATATTTGACCCCTTAATTAGAAGGGCTTGTCAAGGCAGCATATTAGTCACACACACTAACGTTATCTTTTGATTTCATTTCACTCTAATCTCTTGCTGAACCTTGTAAAGACAATAAGATAGAGGCTAGATAGACATCTTAGTATAAGCCACCAATGGGAGTGAACTATAATATGCAAACGTTTGCTTTCAAGTGAATATGCAATGTTATATGGCTAAATTTGACAATAACCTAGAGTTAAGTAGAAACCTTAAGGCAATCCCTTTCAAGGGTTTACAGGGTGCAACGAACAAACTGAACACAATAAAATGGAGAGGAAACTTGATGTCACATACCGGTAAAGTTATTTCAAGAGTTTCCAGACGAGTGCATAATCTCATGAAGCATACAAATAAGTGACACTCTATTGCATCATTCAGGTCTATATCAATTGAAATTTTTGACAAAGTCAGCAAAATATTGCTCTCAGAACCCTACAAAGTGAAAATGAAGACATGGTTAAAATTAGCAGCATCATATATATAATATAGTACAAAACAGAGAGACATCATAGAAGCACTGTTATTTAATTTAACTTACCCAATACCAACGGAAGTAGCCAAGAAGATCGTAAGCCTTGAGAAGGTACCTCCCTTCAATGTAAGCCGTCACTGATCCGACCATCGAGTGGGTGTAACAATGGATAGCCCTCAGGTTTAGGGAATAAAGTTCCATAATCCTCGGATCAATCAAAGTATCAAAGACCAAAACTTCGAGCTTCTCAGCAACAAGAACTAATTTCTCAATTTTCGTAGCATACAGCTGCAAAACCCTCAAATTGGGATTATGGATTTCAAGTTTTAAATACCCACCAGCGGTACACTGATCCAGACAAAGATTCTCCAAACGCTGACAGTTCTTCAAAATTTCATTCAATGTAGTATCATCGATATTCACTTCCCTCATAATCAAGGTTTTCAGATTCTCGCATCCCTCGAATGGTTTTGAAGTACGCAGATCGTAGTGAACGAGCTGGAGTGAATACAATCCCGAGAAAATCCCCGGTGGAAAATTAGGTTTCAACAATCTCTCATGTTCGCTTAAAAGGATAAGCCGGGTTGTTCCTATGTCAAAAACATCACTCTCTAGGCTTAAAAATTTCACATTCCTTCTCTTTAAAAGTCTGAGCCAGGTCACAACTTCCTCACAGTAAATACTATATGGGAAATGGAAGATTCGGCAGCTGTGCAAATCAGTAGAGAGACGAAGCAAAACGGTAGAGATCGCCAGACCATACCTCACGATTCTTCTGCAGAAGGCATTCCTAAGAACTTCTTCAGGGTACAGTCTTTGAGCTAAGGGCAAAATCATACATCTTCCGTCAAACTCAAGATGGGTAGAGATGAATCGCCAAAGTCCCCTCCATCTCTTTGAAAGGACACTGGTCCTTGCAATTTCGTCGATTGAAAGAAGAGAAATGATAAGGCACAAGATTTCATCTGGAAGCTGGCTTATGTAGTCACGCCTTTCATCAGCAGCGGCGAGCTTGGCCTTGGTTCTTGATCTGGTCATAATCATTTTGGTGGGCTGATGAAGTTTGTTCAGAAATTCGGGGTTTGGAAGTGAAAGGAGAGCTTTGGGAGTGGAGGTGTGAGAGGAAGAAGAAAGAGGAGTTTGACTATATAACGCAATTAACTTGTCCGTTATCTTTCTGCATGAATGACACGAGGGTTGCGTCCAGACAGAAGCAAGTTGTCTGTCCTAATACCCTTAATTTCTGGTTTTGGTAATTGGTTTAAAATTTTGAGTTAATGGCTTTCTTTTAACTGTGATCAGAAAACATTTTTCTTAAAACCATTTTTCTGTTACTTCCATACATGAATGATTTTATTAGCAAATTCATTTAAAAAATAATAAATTCTTCCCTAACACTTCCTTGCAATTTTTGATATAGATCATTATGGGAAAAAAATTTAGGTCAAATTCCTTGTATCAATAACGTCAAGTACTCCAATTATATATAATCATGTGTCCTTTTTTATTTTATATGGATTTATAACTAAATGTTATTAAATGCTAATATTTTAAAAATAGAATACATGGTCATATGTGACGTAGAAGAACTTGACATAATAGATATAAAAAATTTGATGTAAGTATTATCTTGTCATTATTTTACCATATTCTCTAGAACTAAGTGTACATTTATTCTGATTAATTAAGATTCATGAATTATTAATTATGATTATACTCTTATAGTTCTATTTATAAGTCACTTCTAACATGTTTTACACAAATACAGAAAAATCTTAAACTCTATAAGCTCTCATTTAAAATCTAACAACTTTATAACTTTATTTAATACTCTTCCGGTCCTAAATATAAGACCTTTATATATATTTTGGATCGGAGGAGTATATATTATACCTCATATAAACAAAGTCAACATAATAATAAATAAAGGGTACAATTGTATATCCATACAAAAAATTTCTCTCAATACCTTATAAATAGGACCAGAAAAGTATGTGTGTATTAATGAAGTGGATATACTTGGATTCACTGTCTGGCCTTGTGTTTTCTTAATACCATGTCTGGTTTTGGTCAAAAGCAGTATTCATTGAACATGATTTTTTTCGTCCATAATGTACATGGCTTTTTAATGTATATGCAACGTTTTGAGGATATACCATCATTAATGTATCAGCAATTATATTAAAAGGTCAGTTTGAGAACATTTAATTTTTATTACAACCTTCCTCTTGTTAATATTTTTATATGTTGATGGAACAAGCGTGTATGGTATTAAAATTTAACCGAAGTTAGTCAATCATTAGACTACCAATGAATCGAGTAATTAGTACTCCTTTAGTCTTTAATATAAGACACATTTAACTAATTTGATTATATTAAGAAAGTTAGGTAAGTTAGTTAATTATAATAAATGTAACACGTTTTTCCTAAAACACCATAGCCTTCTTTCTTAATATCCCTTCTTCCTCTTTTACTTGATTATAGTTGAGGGAAAATCTATAGGCGTAATTTAGAAAAATTTTATAATATAATAAATGAGTTTTATATTTAAGACTAAAACCAACTCAACAATTGGGTCCTCTATTAAGCACCGAGGAGTATCTTAATTGGTTTGGTCACGAGTTTCAAGCAGGTTGACCAATTTAATTATAAAGTCATAAAACGACATTATTCTAAGTTAAGTAATGGTTGGTCAGATTTGTGTTTTAATAATTTTATTTTGTTTGTATTATATGTTATTTATTATAAGGGAATATTTCTATTTACTTATAAATTAATGGCAGCTTTTTTATTTAGATATTATTTATAAATATTTTTATATCCTCTAATTATATTATATTATTTTAATCATGATTATATTAGTTTTATATGGATTCAACTACATTTTAAACTAATGACTCATAAACAATAATTGGTTGACAGATTTAATTACCTGTCCAATAATTCCAGTAAAATCGCGTTTTTAATGGTGTAAGTGCCCGTTTGGATTAGCAGTGAACAACTGTGATTTTAGATAATCGTGAATTTTGTAAATGACACTGGTTATAAGTAACAACAGTTAATCGTGATTTCTGTTTGGATTTTTTTTGGTAAGTAATTTTAAGAATTGTGATTATATTTGGTTTTCATTTATTAAAATCGCTTATGGACGTATAATTACTAAAAAGAACATAAAGTTAATATTTGAGGAGAGATTTTTGGAAGAGTATGGGAGGATAGACTGGAAAAAATTTAGTTGCTGAAAATTGATCGGGATTTTCCAAACACATAAGCTACTTCTTATCGTTTATCCTAAAAGTGTGGTCAAAGGATAAAATCACGATTTATCAGGATTTTATAAAAATTATCCAAACAAGACAAACATACTTCATAATCACTTATTTGTATTTAAACAGATTTATTTGAAATCCTACCACTTAACCAAACAGGCTCTAACCAATGCAGAACCATTTCACGAGGGGACGGCTCGCCCAGCCCAACATTGGTATGACCTAGGATGAAGAGAGATTTCGCCCTGCCCTTGGATCGTGGGTGAGCTCAACTCCTTTCCAAAAATTTAAATATAAAAAAAAAACCATTTCACGAGGGGGAAGTGTGGATTTTGAGGTGAGCAACGTCACTCCAAGCACATCTCAAAATGAGAAAATGTTTTATTAAATATAAATAAATAATCATGCCTTTGGTCAATTCCCCATTATTCATTTTTCTTCAAAAGAAAAAGAGCTTAAAATGTCGGCTAGTAATGACAATTTACGTACCGACCATCGTAAAGAAACATTACGACGTAAACATGAACGCGTTTAAAAGGTCGTGAATGATAAAGTAATATTATAAATAAAGCTTTATAATTAGCATCGAAGATAGTATTATAATAAGTAAGACTTTTTAGGTTAATTTGTGGAGGATAATATATAAAAACACAGTGGTATATCTTAAATTTCTGTTGACATATATAACAATGTACATAGATGACACTTCCGTCGTTCATTTATATGTAACTAATAAAACTTTCCTAATAAACTACGCACCACAATATGAAATATAAAATCCTATAGTTTATGCAGAATAATATGAACCCCATGTCGTGGCTGAATGGTGAGATTGTAGTGAGGGGCATGAGAATATGTTGGGGAGAGCTCAAAGCAGAAGCGCTGGAGTATGAGTGATAAGACCATCTTAGCCTCTAATAAGGCAAAGTTTAATCCAATGCAAATCCGAGGACCCCATCCAAACGGGAAAAATGCAGCGGAGGAAGCACCTTTCCCTGCCTTTGAAATTCCTTCGGAAAATCTCTCTGGTTTGAACTCACCAGCGTCATCACCCCAAATTCCTTTGTCATGGTGAAGCATAAGAATTGGTAGCAGAACTTGCACCCCAGCTGGTACTAACAAATTCCCAAGTTTCATGTCCCTTTTAGGACACCGTGTCAACCATCCTGCCGGCGGGTATAACCTCAAAACCTCGTACAAGATCATGGTCAACTGTAGTAGCAAAGTACATTATTCAAAACGCGTCATTTCTTAATATAAAAACTATTTAATTAATTTAAATAGATTAAAAAAAATCAAATAAATCAGTTAATTATAACAAATATAATATAATCTCCCTAAAGCACTTCTGTGTACAACATTAAATTATACATCAGTAGGTAAATTTATTTGGACAAAAATGATAAATATAAGAAATAAAGTGGATTAAAATTTTATATTTACGATAAAATCTGGTCTCCCAACTAGTTTCAATATTAATGACCGGAGCAGAGGAGATATTCTTACAATCTTGAGGCGACTTAACCCATCATGATCTGGAGTTTGGTTGCCAAAGACTCGTAGGACTTCTTCCCTTGCACGTACTTGCCAATCAGGGTACTTAGCCAACAGCATCATCGTCCAAGCAAGCATGGACGAAGAGGTTTCTTGGCCTGCAAAATAGAACAACTTGCATTCCTCGATCACATCTTTCATACTCAACCCAACGTTGTTGTTCTTGTTCCCTCGTTCTTTAATATCCTTGTGATTGGATTCTAGAATTATGCCAAGTAAGTCACTCTTATTGGCGGCTTCAGCTAACTTCATAGCTTTCTCCTTCTTCTCAATTATACGCATCAGAGAAGCTTCCAACATTCTATTAATTTCCTTCATCCTCCTTTTCTCCTTAGCGTATACTACACTGCAGATTCATATCATCAGCACCATGAAGCTTAAAAAGGTCTGCTCGAAAGTTGGCTATCGCTTTTTATGTTTACTTCAACCAAAAAAAAAAAAAATCTATTTTTATCGTATCATTCTGTGTTCATATCAGTGTTCATTGGTTAGTCCTTGCATAATACGAAGGAAAGTGAGTGGCTCAGCGAGTGGTTATCAGGTTCAACATAAAATATTCTTCCAAGTAGATAGAGTTAGATAGAGTACTGATCTTACCTCCACAGTGAGTTGTGATATCTGATTACATTCTTCATTATAAGATCGCCTAGCTCCGAGAGAAGTTGGAAAATTTTTCTGCCTTCTTCATAGTTGCTTCCAAAAGCTGTACGAGAAATAGCATCCTCTGTGAAATTCTTAAGCCAGGGCCGTACATCCATTTCACATGTTCCATCTGAAGAAGAAGACAACATATCTTCCCATTTCCTTATCATCTCATTGCAGCTTTGGGAAAAGCTTGGCATCAGAGCCTGCGGCAAAATGAGTATCAAAATGAGACACTCTCAACATACAATACTTAATTTTTCTATAATCTGCATGCACAACTTTAATTAAACCACAATTAACAGAGAGATAGTCATTCATTTCAATCAAGAAGAGAATTTAGTAAGGAACCTTCAATTGTTCAGAATGGAATGCAGGATTGATGATCTTTCTATGTTTAGCCCACTTTTCGTCTTCATAGTTTGCAACACCAGTGGCCATATACTTAACAATAAGAATTGCTTCAGGCCTGGGGAAGTCATAGTTCCTGTTAAACGCCTCCTTCACTTGCTCTGGGTCCATCAGAATCACCCTTGGTGTCGTTCCAAACCACATAAATGAATTCTTACCTGCACTTTAACTGTTACTAGCTAATTCTTGAAGCAAGCTCAAATAAATATAAACAAGAAAAATGATATATATATATATATATATAGAGAGAGAGAGAGAGAGAGAGAGATTATCAGACCATATTTGTTGACCAAGTGGTGGACAAAAGGGACGACATAGGGAGGTAGATCGTGGGAATGAGAAGACATGGATATGGATGTAACTTTTTCTTGCATCTGAACCATTTCCTTCAAATCTCCAAACCATAATCTATAAGGATTGGCTTTAAGGTTTTGTTTTCTGAGTTCCCTTTCCAGCCTCTTAGGGTTCAGCCACACCCTCTCCACCATCTTCCATCCCCATCTTATCACTGTTATTACTGCTGCAGTGGCCACCAATAATAATAATGCTGATACTGAAGCTTCAAACATGTCTAACTCTCTGTGCTTCACGTGTTGAGAGATCGATCTTGGTGATTTGAGGTTTGAAGAGAACAATCTTGAAATGTTATTTTATATATTCGAGCAGCGAAATGCCCTTCCGAATTTTGATAATTTATATGTCAAAAGTCCTAGTCAATTGACATCACTCAAATGTGTTTGTATATGAGAAAGTCATCTGTTTTGCTAAGAAAAAACGTGCGACTATATGTATTTTGGAGTTTTGCTTTTGTCGAATCTTTGGGATAACATCTCATGAAAGGAATCGAAAAGGACTCAAGTTTATATTAATATCCAATCCTTTCTCAGAGTCTACGTATGGATATCATCTACGTTGTGATCAACAATAATTGGGCTAGTTTATTTCATTAATCGGTTAAGAAATTCACAAACTATCGTAAGACACGCAAGGGCGGCAACAATTAACATGCCCCCTTCCCTCACAATACGGGTAAACTGTGGCTCAACTTTTATTTATATATATATATATATATGTATGTATGTATGTATATGAATATAAAAACATGAACTTTACCATGGTTGATATTCCTCCTATACATTGCACAAATACTCCTAAAATGGCTAAATGCTCCAAGGTCTACCCATCTATTTTGATTGCTTTGTATTACTTCTGGTTCTTAATGTAAAAACTAATTTGACATTCAATTTGATTATAAATATAAAATTCTAATTCATTTTGTATCTCGTATTTGTTCTTTTTTTTAATTAGTTCTTATAATAGTCACATGTTAAAGGTTTTATTAAATAGTAGTTTTAATTAATACATATGATTAGTAAGGATATTCTAGGAAAGACAACACTAAATTATTACAAATAACTAACTTGACAAACTTCCTTAATATACTCAAATTAATCCATTAGCTCTTATATTAAAGGTCACAAGTAGTATTAAATGTTTAAAAAAAAAAAAGAACTAGTTATAAAAAGGATATGGCGTGACATATATCTCCTAACAACCCCATTCGCTTTCACTTACCAATCTTCCCCGTTTCTTATAATTTTTTCAAATAATAAATAAATTAGTTGGAGTGGCCTTGCAATCTTTGACCTTTTCTTTTTTTTGGATCTGAACACACCTTTACTTAGTTAGCTGTCATTGAATGAAAATGATAGATAGGTTCCTTGTGAAATTTTTTTTTTTTTAAGATAATGATTAATGAATTTTGAATGTGCAACATGACGCCCAGGATGAAATTAAACCTTGGGATAATCCATGTTGAATAATACTACGTAGTAGGCTTGAGACGAAGTTTTGTAAGGGAACTGCTAACCATTTAATCTATCCCTGCTCAAGAAAAAGGAAATTATTAACACATCATACCAAAAAGAGAATCATGAGTTCAAGGAACTAAAGTATTAATATTCCTTAGTAAGAGGTCGAAATGTCATTATTCCCCACTAAAAAGGCGACATTACTTTTGCTGACATATTTGGTACTGACGAAGGCGTAAAATTTGTCAACAGAAAATCCAATAACATTATAAGAACACTACTAACAAGGTTATGGTCGTCTCATCAAGAAAATACTGTTTTTCCTTTTATGATTTTAAAATATCAAAGGTAAGTAACAAATGAAGTTACTGTAAAGGCATCCTTGCATGTATGACATAATTTCCACTCACAAATTCACAAGTGTTCAAAGGCTAACAGATTAGACACTTGGTTACCCATAACCAAGGACATTTTTATTATCCACCTACTAAATGGAGCATTACAAAGTCAGAAATTATAATCATACTCATTGTACTGAACACATATTATCACTTAAGAATTAATTATAACTTATTAGCGCCCTGTTTTGGATCTCATGGAGCTCAAGTTCAGCACTGTGTATTTTGAGCTTCAAAACGATTGAAAGTTTTGGGGAAGCATTGCTAAGAGTCAGCAGTCTTTCTTCTTCTATTGGTTGCCTGCATATAATTGTAATTCTCACCAATTTCCTACCCTTTGTTATTATGTGCTTTAAGAATTCAAATTCTTGATTATTTCCTTTGAAACCCCTGAGATACACAAACTTCAACTGGTCATGGACACAATTACAAGCAACTCGAAGATCCCAGTAAATACCTCTATTGGCCATATCATTGTGAACCTGTAAAACAGAAAAAATTGTAATTAGCAAGGTGCGTGTCTATCGGCGAGGGCATAACTATTTCTATTTGAAAGCGCTAGTTTGAACTCTTTCTTTTTTATTTTGAATTTTACACACACACACACACGCCTACTTTTTCCACAGGAAAGAAAACTTATACATAGTACTCCATGACCTTCCCAGAATTTGCACTCACCATAACCTCTCCCATTCTTGAGCTGCTTTTGGTGCCATTGAGGCATTAAGGCTTTGGCAAATTCTATATGTCAAATCTGACTGGTCCCTAGCTTGTTTGGCCTTGCAAATAGTAAATGACTACCCTGATTCCTGAAAGTCTCTTTCTTCCTCCCCACAATACATACCTTCCTTAAAATTCAGGAATCGAACCCATGCCTGGATAATTCTAACAACATTACAGTTGTTGGATTGAGTCTTTTCTCAGGGCATAACTTTCTCTGGTTAATTGACCCAATTCAAATGATGTATATAAAATAGTGCTTTCAGAGAGACATTAGAGGACCCTCATGTGTAGTAAAAGCGACCAAGTGTGGACTATATATAATGGAAATTTACATTCAATGAATATGCAATATTAAGTGGCATATATATTGGAAAACAGACTAGCTAGATAGGGTAAATTCATAACCTTACATGTGCAATAATCATAGTTCAACACAACAGAAATTGAGAGCGAGCTAGCTAGTGAAGTTAATTAATGTCACATACCGGTAACGTAATTTCAAGAGTTTCAAGACGGGTGCATAATTTCATGAAGGTTGAAATCAAACGACAATCTTGTACATCATTTAAATCCATGTCAATGGAGAACTTTGACAAACTCAGGAAAAAATTGCTCCTAGAATCCTACAAAGTGAAAATGAAGACACTGTTAATTAGCGCCACCAACAGTATACTTAAAATAGGGACATCACAACACTAATAATTCAAAGAAAACTTACCCAAAAATGACGATAATTACCAAGAAGTTCGGAAGCTTTGAGAACTTGTTTCCCTGCAGACAATGCAAACATTTGTCCAAGCATCGAGTTGCTGTAAGAATGGATAACCCTTAGGCTTGGAGAATAAATTTTCAAACTCCCAGGATAAGCTAGAGAATCAAATAGTAAAACCTCAAGCCTCTCAGCAAAAACAACTATTTCATCAAGTTCTAATACACTCAGTTGCAAGACCTTCAAATTGGGATTATGGATTTGAAGTTTTCCAAACCCATAAGACTCAAGGAGACTAAAATTCTCCAACCCCTGACAGTTCTCCAGAATTCCTTCTAGGGTTTCATCGTCTATGTAAATATTCTTCAGAATCAAGGTTTTGAGATTTTCACATCCCACAAATGGTTCTGGACTACTCAGTGTATAGTGAATCAACTGGAGCGAAAACAAACCTGAGAAAATCCCCGGAGGGAAATCAGGTTTTGATCTCCTCTCAACAGCTTCATAAATGTCAAGAACATTTTCGATTGTTCCCATGTCAAAAAACTCACATTCTAGGCTTAAATTTTTCACTTTTTTAAACTTTGCCAGTTTAACCCAGCACACCACTTCCTCTCGAGCAATACTATATGGGAAATGGATGAATCGACAGCTCGGTAAATCACCAGAGTGACGAATCAAAATGACAGAAATCCTCAGACCATAGCGCGTGAGACCTCGATTCAAGGCCCTACTAAGTTGTGAATAAGGATCCTGTGCTTCTAATGGGTTTTCTCTTTGAGCTAAAGGCATTATCATTCGCTTCCCGTCAATCTCAAGATGGGGAGTGAAACGCCATAATCTCCTCCATCTTTTTGAAAGCACGCTTGTCCTGATAGCTTCGTCTATCGGAAGCTTAGAAATAATGAAGGACAAAGCTTCATCAGGGAGTTGGCTGATGAAATCAGCCTCCTGATGTGCAGCTCTGGCCAGGGATCTCGATCTGATCCTAGTCATTTTTTCTGAAGTGAATAGGGTCTGGAAATTCTGGTTTGATTTTTTTTTCCCAAGAAACTGAGAATGGAGGGTGAAAGGAGGAAGAAGCAGAAGATGAATATAAGTAAATAACTCGACCGTTTCTTGTCTGCATGAATGACACGAGGCTTGCATGTTTAGACAGATAGAAATTGTCTGGCTTTGTACATTTTCCGATTTTGGTAATGGGTTTTAAATTTGAGTTAATGCCTTTCTTTTGAGAGTGAAAAAATGTGGTCTTTTTACCAATAAAAAAATTATTAATCAACACTATTTTGATTTTTAATTTAGGTTAATGTCATTTTTAGTCTTTAAAATTTGATTTCATTTTAATTTCAGTCTCAAAGTAAAATTTAAAACTAGCTGGTTTTGATCTTTGAAATCTTATTTTAAAGAATAAAAACACTATTACAAGAATAAAAATTTTCAAGCGAAGCAAAATGAGCAATAGATAAATGGATGAATCGGACATTCCGCCATTTGGATGCCATGTTCGCATTACTGATTTTCCCATTTTATGTTGGTTTTAAACAAATATATTTATATTTACCTTCTATTCTTGTATTTATTTAATACTCTACCATGTTTGGATTTTCCAAGAAGTGGTTTTCAATGCATGTGAACTCATAATTAATTGCATTAAAAATTTTAACCCCTTAGTATTTATTTGTTTTTTATTATTATCCAATAAATGTTTTTTTCCTCTTTTGAACCTACCTACTTCCTACTAATATTTCACCCTTTTTTGTAAGAAAAATAAACTAAAGGACCCATAAAAGAGCTTATAGGCAATAGCCATCATTTATATGACTGGTTATAAATTTTTGAAAACAACGCTTATCAGCAACCATTATTTGTCTAGCGCATGCAAGTTAGCACGAGAACGAGGCAGCTAGTTTTTTAAGTGCACCATGAAAAGCTTTTGGCAGTTAATCTTTTAGACGGT